CCATGATATCATGATTAGATACGGAAACATGTTTTACAGGTTTAACAGACATCCGCGTGAAGATCAAATTGAAAGTTTAAATAAATACATAATGACGCTTAAAATTTTAAAAAAGTTATTACTATTGTTATCTTTTTTAAATATACTACGCAAGTGAATAGTGCTTTTCGCGCGCTCTGATTGGTTAACTCGGAGGTGATTTCACCTCAGTGTCGGTAAAAGTGATGGATATTTCCCTCCACTTCGGTGAATAATTGTTTATTATTATTATTATTATTATTATTATTATTATTATTATTATTATTATTATACGTTACATTTTCACATGCGGGTTGGAAGAGCAGATTATACTACAGATCCTGTTTTTATATCCTTTTGTTTTCATGGTTTAAAGCCCTCAGCCACCGTCTAAAATTCGGTTGAGCTTTGGATGCTAGCAAAAGGCGCATTCATTTTTATCAATATGACGCAAACGTTTCATGCGGTGCTGCAGTTATCAATACCGGCCAAAACCAAAATTACTTATATATTTACTATATATTCCAAAATTACTATATATCACAAGCCCGCGTAAAGTATAATCTACAGCGTGCACGAAATAACAGCAAACGCGACAACCCAGCTGTTAGTCACACAAGCTAAAAGCACTGATGATAAATCACGGACTGGGTGAAGACTAGTAGTTTATACACACGAAACGCCGCGATCTACATCAGAAGTGAGCAAGTCACCGCATAAGAAACAAAAAGATATCATTATAATGTAAGACTCAGGTCAATCGTCGAACTTCGCATGAGACGAACTCAATTGCAATTTGAGTCGATCCAATCGAGTAAAGCTCGACCGTTGGGTCACACGTGGAACTTAATTCGAATTTATATCGATCAACAGTCAGTCGGACGAACTCAATCGAGTCAAACGTCGAACTTATCATGAACCTTATTCGCTCAGTTTAGTTCGTCTCACTGCATGTGAAGTTCTACTTTTGACCTGGGAACTAAGCAGAACAAATGGTCAATAGTTTTAACGTTTTTCATGAATTTTAATGAACCAAAGCGGGAAAATCGTCGCCGTCACCCAATGATCCGTTAAATGAGATAGCGTGGGTTGGAATGCATATTAAAATCACATTAACCTTTTTGAAACTTTAAAATAAGTATGAAACAACCGATGAGTAAGGCTTTCTTCACAAAAGCGGTCTATTTGTTATGGTTGAAAAACAAATATTCTATTGTCTCTGGATGACGTCCTATATCTTTAACTGTACCTTTTTCAGTCAACCATATTTGAAAAGAAAAGGTTTTTCCAAGCGTTTCAAATAATTTCTCTTGCTTTAAATGTTTGACACTTTCAGCTTTTTTTGATCGATGTATTTATAAATCAAACAGGGACACAAAAAATGAGAAATATTTTCTCCATCTGCAATTGGCAGTAGAAAACTTTAAAACTTTATACCCTTCCGTTCCGACCTAACTCAGTCAAGAAGTGTTTTATGTACTAACTTTGCTGACTTTTTTTTGGAACGATTTGAAATTTTTTCAGTAAAACTCGCTAACTGATGGAATTGCGTTTGCGAGGTCTGACAGCCCACCGTTTACAAGGTTCTTTACAACTGGCAAAAAGAAACAATAGATAAAAAACACAAAAAATACCCCTCACCCTAAGAAGCAAATGAAGTGCAGATTAACAAGGAGATATCAAACTATAGGGATTTTAAAGCAATTGGTTAAATTCTTTAGGTGAAAATTCAGAAATAACATAACATCTGGTGTAAGCGATTGCTCGAACAGCGACGGAATAGCTAAAAAGAATCTAGTCTCGCAGCGTTCCAACTAAAGCTAACCGAGTCACGTACGCTTTTATATTCTGTCACTATAGCTTTTAATTCTTACTTCATCTCCCAAGGGACAGTTCAAAAAACTACAAGCACTTCTTATGTGCCACTATCGTTCAGAAACCAGTTTCATCGTCCTTTTTGTGATACACAGCCCATGAATGAAGTATTTCTATGAGGAATTTGGGTGTTTACAGTTTTAATTTTTATAAAATACCATGCAGTATGCCAATTGTCAAACTGAATTTAATTGTTTGTCGCCGGGTGTGATTGAGAAATCAATTATTAAATAACACAGTCTACTTTGAACCTGATATTTCAGGGAGCGGTGAGCAAACCATATACTCAAAGCATTTTTGCTACAACAGCCCCGTTGTATCACACACGAAGAATATCTAATATTGTACTGTAATATTATTTTCGAAAGAGGATAAAAGAAACAAATCAACACCTCCAGTGCACATGACTGGGTGTGTTTGGTTATAGCATGGCGGATTGTGTATCGTCAGCAATTGTTTAAGATTTCATTGTTGATCCCTTAAAAATATTCCTAACCGTAGGAAAAGGAAGCATTTGTTACAATACCTTGAAGCTGTTATGAAGCCTCCAATCAATGACAGTAGAACAGCCAAAAGTTTCATTTTAGTAGATAATGGATTGGAATTCTCTGTGCTGTAAGCGAGTAGCTTCAGGGCGTTCACCGATCTTGTTTTGTTTGCAGTGTCCTTTATATAGTGCGTTTTTTCTTAATTATTCAAAACAAAGAGATCAATTCGCATGATTGTGAAAAACAGTTGTGCTCAATATCTTTTTATATTGTATCATTTCTTTTAAGTCACTTGATTGAGCGGAAAAGAAAATAGGAACTTTTTGGTCTGTTTATTTTGCCCGTGCATAAAAACATAATGTGAGGGAGGAACTGATTTTGTTGGAAAAACAAATAACGGCGCAAAACCATAGCAAAACGGCTTCACCATATAATTGTTTTAGAGTTGCCCTAGCAACTAAGGAGACAATTAAAGCAGCTAAATGTGGGTTTAGTTTAAGCTGGTGTGAAGTTTACCATGAAATAAGGCTCATCATATGATATGAACTGGCTCCAAGCTGCTAGGAAAACAAAATTCGTGCCAAGTTTAATGTAGATAAGCACATTCCATAAAAAAAACACGACGTGCTTTCTGATAAAAGATCATGATTCTTAAGCGTGGTAAAAATTTCGTCTTCTTTAAATGATCTGACAAGCCCGAAGCTAGAACAGCTCTTCATTATTACTTTTATTTCTTACTACTTACAGCTTAAAATACATTATTTCTTACCTTCCTTTATTTTAGAAGCCCAACTTTTTGAATTGATATTGACTCGTTATATATTCTGATAAGACTGAACAGTTTCGTGCGTGGGGCAAATATCAACACCGTTAAAATCGTGCCTTCTTCTGGCAAGTCGAATATCTATTTGGACTTATTATTTGTCCCTTGAAAAGAGCGAGGTCGATTCATAGTCGTTTTTAATTCAATGTTCTTTTAAATCTGACGTCATATCATGGTCTGCTTTTCTAAATAATATGGTAGGAAAACAATACTGTAAGTCTTTCGTCTGATAGGTATAAATTATAATAATTGATTTTATTCTTGCTGCTCTTAAGCCATGGCCAAACGGAAGTAGTTGCAATTAGCCGCACGTTGAACTTGCGTACAGACTTGTGTTGGGTGGTCAAACGGACTCGCAAGCTCCTCGCAAGTACACGCAAGTCGCTAAACATTTCAAGGCTATGAACTTAGTCCCGCGCAGAGATATCCCTTATTTCATTGGCAAGTAGGTTGCTAGAACAACGAATGGATGTCACTCAACCTGTGATTGACTTCGGTTGGGTGGCCTTGCGTCGACTGCTTGCATGCCTGTGTAAATTTGGTCTCGACCAAAGTAAGCCCAAGTCATGGCAAGTCAACTCACACATGCAAGGCCTAGCCCGAACGGAGTCAAAAGTAGTTTTCAACTTGTCTACTGCCATCCCTGCCAAATAAATAAATGAATAAATAAATAAACAAATAAATAAATAAATTTCTACTTATTTTTTCTTTGTCCCACGCTCGTGTCATGTTGATCAATTCACCTTTCTCATTTCATTACCGAGCTTAAAATTCACCATCTTTATTCACTTATCACACTCACGATAACTTCGAAAGTGCTGATCCCAGCAGTATGCGGGACGCCTGTCAGTTAAATGACCTTGCTCTCCATGAGTTCTCGTAGCTCAATGGATAGAGCGCCTCCCGGTTTTCGGAAGGTCATGGGTTCGATTCCCGTGGAGTACTCAATTCACCTTTCACAAACAAATTTCTGTTATTGTAATCCCCAGGCCCTCTTGCGATCGGCGTTTTGCCACGAGGCAAAGCTATCCATTTACCGTTAGAAAGCACATAGTTACAAATTAAACTTTTTGTGCGCAAAATTATGGATAATCAGGCAGCCTAACAGTTTCAAAAGAGAATTAAAAGTTGCATTGTTTCAAAGTTAGGAAATTCACCCATTATTTATAAACATCTTTGTTTTTGGTTTTGTTGTTGTTTGGTGTCCATCACTACTCGACTAAAATTTTAGGAAATATAAAAACGGTAGCAAACGGTTTGAGAATTTCCAGGGAAAGTTTCAGAAACATCCAAGTACCTTAATTTTTGAAATGCCACTGAACCATTCAATCGAAAATGCCTGGTCGGGAGCGAAATTAATTGAAATAGACTAATTACATGTTTAGTTCACTAATCGACTTACCCCAGAAACATTAACAAGGATCGTGGAATAGAAATTCTAGAGGCACGGAAGCCCAACAACAGGAGAGCCGTACGGCACCCGACTGCCGAAGGAATAGACTAATTGGAACAGACTAATTACATGTTTAGTTCACTAATGGAAGCGAACTATGACAAGTGCAAATAGGAGAGGGCCATCAGGGTCGACCTGGCGAGCATCAAATATACGTTCCCTGTAATTTTTGCCAACATCAGAGCTTTCTCTTTGTATTCAATTAGGTTAAAATTTCCCTTTCCTGGGGCCAAACGACAATCAAAGTCTTCGAAAGCCCAGTTTGACGTAACGTTAGTCATAGCAAGGAATGAGCAAACACGAAAATGGAAGAGAAAAGTTATTTTGACCTTGGTGAGATTGGAACTGAAACACGACTTCCATTGTCAAAGCTACGAGGACGGACGAAATTTATGTATGAGGAGAACAAATGAAATCCACTGTGGTGCTCGAAAGAAACCTCAAGGCCGGATCATTTTCAACAGTTAAAAATACTACAGAATTTATTCTCTGATAGCGTAGCATTGACGAGTGTATAAAGAAGAGGACAATTTAACCCACACAAATAGTTAGAGCGAGAGCTACATCAGCCTCAGGGTCCTCTTTCAGGTTGAATTGAAATAAAGAAACTGGTTGGTGTGGGCTCTTTCCATTCAACTAAAATTAATTGAAAAATTAATTTGGAAACTGGGACAATTGGGGAGTAAATTTGCTGGGGAAGTTTCAGGAAAATCAGGAAATTGTTGAATTTCCGAAAAAGCAAGCCATTTAACCAAAAATTCTGACGGGAAAATTATCTGGAACGGAAATTCCCTGTAAGAAAATTCTTAAACGTTGGGTTTTCGTCAGGAAGTTGTCCTCTTTTCCGGATAAATCCAATTTAAGAAAAATTCAAACCAGAATTTTTCACCGAATGGGAATCGCCCATTGCTTCCAGGTGGGAGGAAAACCGGAGGACTCGGGAAAAACTCTCAGAGCAAGGCCAGGAACAAACAACTCCGGGTCAAGGATTCGAACCAGCGCCACATGGGTGGAAAGCGAGCGCTCTAACCATTGCCCCACCCCTGCTCTGATCTGTTCTCCTAAAATGAGTTATAAGTTTGGATTTACCCATATGTATGTAACGCAATTAAAGTGGCAACTCTCAAAGCATTTATTACATTTGTAAACGCAAATTATTCAGTTTCCGTTCGTTGATCTTCATTTGGCTTTGCTTCTTCTTTGTTATCTTCGGTTCGAACATTCTGTCGGGATTTCTTAATTTTCTGCAGGAATCTTAAGAGAAGTTTGATCAATCTGCACAGAAAGAGAAGGAAAACGTGGTTAAAAGAATATTGCTACGTTGCTAGCCTACGAACAGGCTCTTGACGAGCGTGAAAAAAAGAATTAGGCGAGCGAAGCGAGCAGCCCGCTCTCTTAGCTCGCCGAATTCCTTTTTTCGTCCTCGTCGGCTCGCTTTGCTAGTCGAAATTTTTTCCTTCCCTGCCGAAAGGCTGTTCGCAGGCTGCAGCGTTGCAAGAAGATATAGCTACAAAAAACTAGCAAACTTCTTTTGTCCTAAGTTTCATGTCCCTGCCTTTTTACTGTACACTTACAAGTGAAATAGCCATTAAAAAAATAGCCAAAATGAATTCGTACCTGGGCCCCTAGTGTTTGTGGAAGCGAACAAGACCCAGATGGCTAAATTAAAGAAGTTAAGTTATTGCGCTGGGCGTGTGCCGTTTGTAAAGTAAATGATTGATGTAACCTACCTTCCTTCTAAGTTGTATTTGCCAATTACAAACATGCAGATTGGAGTTAATAATGACATTAGTGTTGTCGTCAGGAGAGTTAGTCCCTGGCTAGTGTTAAGGAAGTCTTTCTTCACGTGATACTCTTCGACCACGGTCTTAAATTGTTCTTTACACCAGGAGTTGGCTAAATATGGAAAAATAAAAACAGCTTAACAAACGTTCTCTATAACAGGAGGGAGAGATTTGTTCAAAAATGTTTAACAAAAATATGACTTTCCTTAGTGCAGGAAATAAGGGAAAGAAGAACAAAAAAAGTTTACTCTGTTACCAGATCTCGTCTTAAATTAAATGTGGAAATGGAAATCTAACTGGATTTATTTTAAAGTGCTATTGAAGCTTGAACACAGCAAGCAGCTGCGAAATTAGCTTACGCCTGTGCTTTAGCTATCGGACAGCCCTTCTTACCTATCGGACAACCACTGATCGTTAACTTGTTCGAACATGTAGCATTCCATGTTTCATCACACACAAACTGAACATAACGAGCTGCCACAGGTGAAGCAAATTTGCACACAAAGATCCATTGGTTGTTCTTGTAGTAATATGACTACAAAGCAAAAGGAAGAACAAAAGATTCTGGTTATTGGGCAATAAATCATACCGTCGAGCCATTTTAGCATAATTCCAATACTTGCACTCTCTTTCGGCCCCTTCACTACCCCTGAGAGAGGCTTTAAAGTGGATAGAACAGTTAATCGGGGTTAACGTAGGCGATGAGACAAGGCGATACGCACCTTTGAGTCCGATAAACAAAAAGCCACAGGATATGTGCAGGTTGAAGGGTTTGTAAACAGACCAGACAAGCCAAAAAACGTTCACGTGTTTTAGCGACATACACCAACAGCAAGTCATTAACATTTCAGCTCATAACGAATGAACGAAATAATGCGCCAACAAATTTTTAGTTGAGCTGCTGTTGATAAAAGAGTGGCATAGCAGTGAACTATTATATTGATCAACGTACTTCAATTTTAAGTCCTTCGCTGAAGTTTGTAAGCACGGAGGGGTTGTTACCGCTCAGTAGTAGAGCATGATTTTTTGACGATTTTGCCATGAACTGATAGCTGGAGATCAAACTACACGACGGTAAATCAAACACTGGCAGCTCGCTATA